TTATTTAACGATTCATTAATGAATCTGTAATATGATTCATTTAAATGATTCATTTTAGTTTTCGTTAAACGAATTCTGTTTAAATGATTTATTACAGATTTTGTTAAACGAATTCTGTTTAATGATTCATTCATTAATGAATCAGTAATATGATTCGTTTAAATGATTCATTACGGTTTTCATTAAACAAATTCCATTTAAACAATTTATTAATAAATCCATAATACAGATTCATTTAAACGATTTATTACAGTTTTTGTTAAATGAATTCTGTTTAACAATTTGTTATGGATTTCATTAAACGAATTCCATTAAACAATTCATTATACGAATTTTGTTTAAACTAATCGTAATGAATCATAATGCAATTTATTACAACTAAGTTTGCTGAACGAAATCCAGAGTTTAGACAGACATCTAAATAATAAAGTAAAACTTGGTTAAATCATATTAAAATCTTATTAAAAAATTTGCGAAATTCAGAAAAAGGTAAAACTATATCAAAACTTATAAAAATGGCAAAACTATATCAATCACTTAGTAAAAATTTAGCGAAACTAAAGGTTTAGACATTTAGCCAAATTCAAAATGAGTTTAAATAAGCAACCTTAGTTATAATGAATCATAATGAGTTTTATTGAACAATTCATTATGAAATTCGTAATAATGAATCATAACAAATTTCGTTATAATGATTCATTATACAAATTTTATTTAAACGAATTGTAATGAAATTCTTCGATTCATTACAAAATTTGTAATATCAAATCATAATGAATTTCATTATAATGATTTATTTATAAAATTTCATTTAAATGAATCTTAACGAATCATAACAAAATTTGTCAAATGATGATGAATTTCACATTTGAAGACCAATTTTGTTGTTTCAAAGACAAATTTAGCATTCAAAGGCGATTTTCATCATTTTAAAGACAAATTTCGTATTCAAAAGTGAAACTTCGTTAATTCAAAAATGAATTTTATTTCAAAAGTGAAATTTTGCTAATTTGAGACGAATTTCGTCATTTTGTAGTAAAATATTTTATTCAATGACGATTTTCATTTTCCATTAATTTTTTATTATTATTTGTTTGCTATTAAACTTATGTATCATAGTAAAACAAAAAACATATATATTTAACCTTTTTTAGGAAATTGGAATCACCCTTTTTTCTTTTTCTTTTCTCTTTCTTTTTTTTAGAAATGCTTTTTTTTCAGTTTTCACTAATATATTTTTTTTTTTATAGTAAACATTCTTTCTTTTGGATAAGATACAGTAAGTAGCTTTTCAGAACTATTTTTCAGCTTTTTACTTATTTTTTTATCAAACTTCTTTCTTTTGGATAAGTTAAGTAGCTTTTCTATGATGAGTTTCAGATTTTTACTATTTTTTTTTCTTTTTTTAATAGTAGTTGACTTTTTTTGCTATTGGTTAAGATAAGTCTACAAATCAGGATGATAGTTTTTTCAAATTTTTTTCTTTTTTTTATTAGGAGTGGATTTTTCTTACTAATTGGCTAAGGTATGCTACAAATCAGAACTCTTTTGTTGTTGTTTTTTGGATTTTTACTAATTTTTTTCTTTTTTAGTAAAAGTAGACTTTTTTTGCTATAAGTTAAGGTAAGTCTACAAATCGGGATAATAGTTTTTTCAGATTTTTACTAATTTTTCTTTTTTTAATAGGTGTGGACTTTTCTTGCTTATTAGCTAAGATAAGTCTATAAATCAGAACTCTTTTGATTCTTTTGGTAATGTTTTTTCAGATTTTTACTAATTTTTTTCTTTTTTTAGGATTGATTTTTTTCTTATTAAATATAGCAAATAATTAAATTTAATAAATTTGTAATAATCAGAAGCTTATTATTTATAAATATACTTTTCTTATAATTAAAGTATTGTAAATGTAAATCATATCAATAATAAAATTCTTTTTATAGTAATTAATCAACTTGTATAAAATAAACAATTATAAAATTACCTATATTATAAAAATTTGATAAAATGTTACCAATTGGAATATGTTATTTGTATAATAGGTAATAATAGGAATATTTCTATTGATAATTTAGTATTGATTAAAGATGGTACAGCAATTGATTTTAAATTTACAAAATGTTGCAACATAAGCTAAAATTAGTTGCAACATATTAATTACAGTTCTCATCTTTACTATTAATATCTTTATAACATCCTGATTGAAATCTTATTGTATCCTATTTGCGCTATTATTCGTCATCAATCAGAATCACCTGATTCTAAAAAAACAAAAAAATAGGAGACCAATCAGATCAAATCTGACAATCCAAATTTGACCTGATTAGTCTCCTATTTGTCATCGTTCGACTAGTGGTGTTCTTCTAAGAATATAGGTCTTTTGCAATAGAAAGTAGGAAATCTATCAAGAAAAATCAATTTATTTTTATATATTAAATATGATTTTCAGATTGAAATATGGGGTGAATGCTGGGAAAAAAGACCAAATCGACAAAAAATTTTTTTGAAATAACTAATAATCTGAATCAGATAACCAAATCTACATTTATTTTACTTAGGAACTTTTTTTTTAAAAAAAAATCAATTTGGTCCATTTTCCCAGCACTCATCCTATATATTCAAATTTAACATTAATCTATTTTTTATTTTTTTAGCAGTTTTCCTTTTTTTTATTATAAAAATCCTATATAAATAAAAGAATAATTTTATTAAACATAAAAGAAAGTGTTTTATTAAAGAATTATAATATTATATTTAATTTTCTATAAAAATTTTAAGATGCAATATTTCACTATTTATTTATTTAAATTATATGATTTTAATATTATTAGAAAAAGAAAAATGAGGTTGTTTAAATGAGTTTATAATCATGTGATTTGGATAATTAAAAGACAAAATATTATATCTAAAGTTAAAAAAATATATAGAGATATTAAAATTCAATATCAAGATATATCAAAATATATATTTTCAGTGTAAATTTAATATGTCTATATCCTTTTGTTATCTTTTTACTATACAAATTTTTTATAGGAATTATACAGTCATTATTGTTATTATTTGCATTATATTTAATAAAGTTTCTAATTTTTTTTGCCAAATAATCCTAACTATTCTATTTATATATTTTGAATTAATCTATATCTACAGATATATTAAATAATTATTATATAAAAATTATCTTTAATTACCTAATTATTATATAATTATTACTATATATTATAATTATGTAATAATTATTAATGCTCTAATAATTATTACTTTTGCTTTTAATTTTTTAAATATATTATATTATATTATCCCTTAAATTGTAGAGCAGGCAAATTTGCCTGCGAAGTTAAAAAAAAATATTAATTTCTTTATAAAATATAAAATATTAATTTTAGTAATATCATTATTATATAAAATATATAGTTTAATATATTTTTTATTAACTTTATTAACAAAGATTTTAAGTTTTTTAAAAGATTTTTAAAATAATCTAATTTTAAAATTAAGTTTCAAACAATTTCTTATAATAATTTCTAAAAATTCTTTAAAAATTTATATGTTTATGTACTATTGAATTACTTTATTATTAATTAAAATCATAAAATTCCTTAATAAATTATAAAAATTATAATATACTTTATAAGTAATTTTATAATAATCTATAATTAAAAGTAAATCCTAAAAAGTTTATCATAGATTAATCATGAAATTTTTTAATATAAATTTTTTTTTAAAAATTACAACTTTTAGCTTTTAAGTAATCTTAAACTTTTTAATATATAATTAAAGATAAAACTTATTATAATTTATTATATATTTATAAAAATTAATTTAAAAAAAAAATTTTAAAAAATATAAAATTATTTATAAAAGTAAATCAGAATAGAAATTTATAGTAAATAAACAGGCAAATTTGTTTGCAAAACCCTATGATTTAAGGGATAATACTAATTTTAATAATCTTTATTACAATCTATAATTAAATTTTTATTACAGTATTTTGATAATAAATATTTAATCATGTTTTTTAGCATACTTATGATTACATAATTTGCTATATCTTATTTTTACTTGAGTAATATTATGTATAATATTTGAGTCTTTTTTTATAAGAGGAAATATTATTATAAAAGATATTTTAATCAGCTGTTTATAGTATTATAGTCAACTTTTAATATAATAAACCTTAGGATCTGAATTTTAACTTTGTTATAAAATTATAACAAATTTTTTGATTCATTATAACAAGGTATATTTAATATATTTGATTGGTTAAATGATAAAAATTTGCTATACTAAGAGTTTGCTATATTAAGGTTTAAATGTATTTATAATAATTATTAAATTTTATTATAAGTATTGATTTATTACAATGGTTTATATAAATAAGATAATTAATTAATTTAATGTAATATGAATTCATTTATAAAAATCATAAACTAGATAAATATAATAACAAAAATTATTAAAAAGTATATAAATTGTGATTTTTAAAGTTGTGAATTAACCAAAAAGTTAATATTATTTAATATAAAATAATGGTTTTAATCAAATTTTTTTTATTTTATTTTTTATTTTATTTATAATTTGATGAGATATCCTATATTTATTTATATATTTTAGTTTATTCATTGTATTTTCTTGTTATTTTTATAAATAAAATAAATTTATCTTAAATAAAATTTAACTATTAATTTAAATGTATAATTAATATTTATTTTAGTAATTAGAATTAATTATTTTTTTGAAAATATTTAAAATATATATATATATATATTTAAATTAGTCAAATATCAAATTTGCAAACATTGCATTTAATTTTATTCAAATAATTTTTTTCAAATCACATGAAATGATATAAAATGATTTAATAATAATAATAATTATTATTTTTTTTTACTTTAATTATCATACATTATATAATACGTATAAAATACATTCTTAAAAAATTTGATATATATAAATAAATAAATATAAATGAATACAAAACTATTTTACGAAGTTATATAAAATTATTTTATAAATTTAAATCCCGATAATTTACTCTTTAATCCACTTTTATTACTACTAGAGTAACTTGTGCCTCCACTATTATTATTTCTACTTTCTTCACTAATATCTTGCTGAGGTAAACTCATTGACCTTGGTTTATGTCTCTTGATGAATTTATTTTCTGAAGATGATTGTTTTTGATTTTGTGTAGATTGTTTCTGTTTCTTTTGTAATATAGACTGTTCTTGTATTTCTTTTAATAAACTTGAAGTTGAACCAGACTTCTTTCGACTATGATAAGAACTTTGTGATTGTGGCTGTTCTACTTTGCTATTATCAATAATGTTTGTAGGCTGTATAACATTTAGTCTTATTTGATCAGTTGCAACAGTACAACGATGTTTTAGGACTTTGGCAAATTCATAGTTCTTAAACCTATCGGGATTATTAGGTAAATAAATAGATGAATTAGAATCCATTGATGATGTTCTAGAAGCTAACGATGCTAAGCTTAAACTACTGTCTCTACGTGGTATTAATCCACCACGTGATATTGGCCTTGGTCCTTTTAATATCCATCTAAATTGTTCCATTGCCGCTTCTTGATTACCAAATTGCTTATAAAATAATTCTCCAAGCTATCAATGAATTAGAAGGCGTAAATGAGTGGTAAAAAAAAAAAAAGAAGAAATTCTGCAACAAATCAAATAATAATTATGATTTACCTCATATCTACAATGTGGAATCACCCATGTCTCTGTGACAATACCTGTTTCCATTGCTAAACATTCACAAAGTGATTTTTGTGCTATTGTAGGATCATCGATATTTAAGAATTTTTCAAAGACTCCCCGAATAAGTAAATAGACAGCACTTATTTCTGGATCGGTGGGTTCTTTAAGATTCTTCCAAATAGATTCTAATAAATTCGCCCACCTCTTTTTTAATTCCAAAGACATATAAAAAAGATCTCTTCTTAGATATAATAAAATAAATAATAAAAATGGATTAACTGAATTCTTTTCTACATATTTGGCCGAATGACGTCCTGCAAATTTATTGTACCTATTGGCTTTTGGTTCTTTTTTATCAGATGAATTGTTTCCTCCTACTCCAAAACCAACCAATCCACTTGCACTTGTTCCCAATAATCCAATACTATTTGCTACACTATTGCTACTACTTTCGGTATCTTGATTTGTCATAGCTTTTGTCTGTTTAAGAACATCTAACGCTTCTTTAATTGCTTGTTGACCTGATTTAAGTATAAGATAACATCCTGCTAAACATAATCCACAAAAAGGTCTTAATTCAAATTCAAAAAATTGTAATAATGCATTATTCTTCTTTGTATTTCCGTCTCGTGAAAGTAAACGGGAAGAACCGTGAAAAGATCCATGAATTGATCCTTGTAATCTTATGGAACCATTTTTTCCTGTAAATACTATAGTATTACCGTAAAATAATAATTCAAATATATCTTTTGCTGCTGAGAAATCAAGATTTATTAAATATGTCATTCCTTTTTCAAATCTATAATTTGTACTTGTAATTCCAATCATTTCACTACTACTTATTCCATTCGTTATATATTTTATGGCTTCTTTTATTTGTCCAGTTTTTCTTGCTTGTTGACATGCCATAAATAAGAATGGTGAGCTTTTTCTACATTAAAAATACATTATATTAGATTTTATCGGTAAAAAAAAAAAAAATGTATAAATTATTTTAAAAAAATAAGATATTTTAACTTACGGATATTTTCCAACACATTCTTGAACAATTAAACCTGCTTTACTTAACGAGGGGGTTGGATCAACAAGTCCCCGCGAAAGAAACAAATAATTTGAAAGAAGGAATAATGCAGCAAAAGGTGCTCTAACTCCGTCACGTAAACGGCAATTTTCTAACATTTGGATGCCTTTCTCTCTTTCAGCATTAAATCCAATCGCTTTTAATATTGATTGGAACGAACCTGGTACAATTGAAACGATAAAATAAAATACCCCAATTCCAAATTCTAAACAATCTTCAATGTCAGGATATATTTCTACATTATTAATTCCATCAAGTGTAGCATTTGATCCATCCTGATTATGATTCTTGCTTCCACCAAATCCAACCATATTACTTAAACTTCCTCTTCTTCCTAAGATTGCACTTCCAAAACTCCATCTACTGCTTGAACTACTTGAATCATTTTTATGAATATAATGCTTTCTGGAATCTCCTTTAATTTTATCAATTTCATCACGAACTTTTGAATAAGTTTTCCATACTTTACGTAAATTAAATGCGCCTTTAATTTCGCTTCCTCCAACAACTTGTAAAACTGCATGGAAAAGAAGAATATCTGCCATTGCTAGTTCACAATCCCATCGATAATTCGCACGTAATGACGCGTAACACGCTTCATCTTCCGTTGGATTGCTATTTGGTTTAATATATACCTTCCATATGTCTGTTCTAAACTGGGATAATGATGTTTCCTATTATTGTTATTGTTATTATTATTATTATTTTAAAAAAAAAAATTTAATTGAATTTCTGTGAAATTTATTTGATAGAATTTGAAAGAATAGTTCAAAGTTATAAAATATCTTACAAAATCATCCTTGTTTTCACAAACTTTTATCGCCAACTTTTCAGCTTCTAAAAGAGCCTTAGTTAATTCTGGATCTTCCTTATCTAATGATTGACCTGTCATGAAATTCTTAATTAATTGCATTTCAGCATAAGCAACATTCCATCTTGGTATAACATCTTTAAACTGATTAAATATTTTTTCTGCTTCATAAAATTCATTATTCCATGATTTTCTTACTGCTAAATTAAAATTCCTCGTAAAGATTGTCTGATTATCGTTATCATTATTTATTTCTAAATTACAATTTGAACTTTTTGAAATTTCTTCTCGGCCATTTTCTTTTTGAATATCAACAAATAACATTTGAAGCGAATTTGAAGGTTCACGAGAATGATTTGATTTCCTGTTATTGTTATTATTATTAGATTCAACGTCAGTGTTTTTGTTGACGTGCGAAAGATTTTTATTTCTTTTTAATAATAATGGATTTGATTCTTCTGCTATTGGAGATAACAAGACTTCGGCAGTTTCTATTGAATTTGACAATAAAGGAGGAGGTGGAAGACTAATTTTTTTATCAAGAATATTTGATTTTGTAACATTATTAACTTTTGTTATGTCGCTGTTTTCAATTTTGTTTTCAGTTGTAGCTAAAATTGGAACACGAGAAGCTAAAGGCGAGGATGATTTTGGTGTGAAATTAATTATTGATGAATTCGAAATACTAAGGTTTGGAGGTGATTCAAAATTATTTGTTTTACATGATTGTTCGTTTTGATCATTTTGATCATCAGTAAATTCGGATTTCTTAGATGATTCGATAGTAGAATTATTTTTTAAAAATAATTCAGAACTAAATGCAGCAGTCAATAAACTAGAATTAGAGGACATAATGGGTCCATAATTAATTTTCTCTTTAGCATTTTTATCATTAATAAATTCAATTTCTTTCAAATTCTGATCTTGCCTTGAAGAATTTTTTGAAATATCATTTTCTACTTCATCAATATTCAAAACATTTTCATTAAATCGATTATTATTAAATATATCAAACTTTTTCCTCTTCAAAGTAGACCATCTCCCATTACCAACTGGTGCACTCCCAACGAAATCACCACCATCTCTCGTAAAGTTAAAATCATTATCTTCTTCATCACCAAAACCTTCACTTGGATATTTACGTAGGGCATAAGCTTTTTCATGTGAAGTCGAAGCTTTTTTATTATTGGAATTAATTTCAATGAATGCAGATTTTTCACGACGTTTTTTCGGAGAGAATTCATCACTCGAATCCGAAGAATCATCACAAACCCTTGCTGCGGAAGTTCTATTGTTTTCATAATCGAATTCATCATCTATAGAAGATATTTTAAAATCAAGAAAATCTTCTTTTGGTGGTTGAAAATATACACTCTCTCGTTCCCTAACGTTTCCACCGCGTCCGATAGAAGTTACAATCAATCCTTCATAACTATAATCATCATTCAATAATAATTGTTCATCGTCATTATCAGTTTTAATATTAATTGGTAAAGTTTTGGAAGTACCACCGTTGTTATTAACATCATTCTTTTGTCCTTTCAATAGTCCATCAACTTGAACTTCTTCCGTTATGACTCTACTCTTATGGTTATGTAAAGGAAGTTCACTATCTTTTAATTTCATTTTTCTATTATATCTCTTTAACGATTTTGCTATTCCTTCTGAACTTACAGCAGATAATACAATCGGGATCGGTAACGATGCGGCCTTAGAAAATGTTGGTGTCAGACTAGGAGTTTTAGCTATTCTAACAATATTATAACCTCGTTTAGCTGATAAAGTGTTGATTGCTGAATTAGTTTTTACACCGTCATTAATTAAAACGTCAATATCATCACTAGCGTGCAGGGCAGCACCATATGTTCGCTTATTTGAATTTGATTTAATTCCTCTACGAAGTGTATTCAAAGGGCTAGCTTGATTATATTCAACTTCAAAAGATATATTGTCACCTTGCAAAGGATACGTTCGTCGTTTTCTATTGGTTGTTACTAAAATGAAAACTATCCAGTGTATTTGAGAGAAGAAGAAAGAGATAAAAAGAAAAAAGGGGAGAAATCCTACAGGTGGATGTTTAGATTGAACTAAAAAATTGGCCTTAAAAATTATATTCAATGAGGAAGCCTAAGAAATTTTTAGTTTAAGTAATTTCTTAATAAGTAATTAATGTAAACATAATCGGTATCATAACAAGATAAACAACTCACCCCGCATGCAACGCCTAACATCCAACTTAAGTCCCTGACCCAAATAGAAAAAGCCACACCTAGTGCCACAAATATCCGAAATATCCCGAAACTAACCAAGTCCCATGAAACTTTGTTCCAATCCCATTGGTCAGAGCCATTCCAAGGACCTTTATGCATTGAGAACAGAGTGCATGCGAAAATTGCAATTAGGTCTAAAATTGCAATAATAACAAGCATACCATGATGATTTGATCTCGGAGGTGAACTTCGCGAATTTAGGTAAGAGTTGTCTGATAAAGCATCATCATCATCAGAAAGGAGCGGTTGAAATTCACCAACTCTCACTGATGATGATGGTGTGGCATTGATATGATCATTATAATGATTCATACTTGAATATTCAGGGAAGGCGTTCAAATTTTGCCGTAGTTGTTGATTATAACTGACACCAACAGATTCTCTTGGAGTCGAACTCGTTTCCATTATTTAAATTTAAATTTTATTGTATCATAAAATAATTGGATGAATGGTATAAAATTTAAATTTAAAAGAAGGAAAGTAAAAGGTGAGAAATTTTTCCTCGCACTTTCGAAATGGTTTATACAAAAAAAAATGTACATTTGGTACAACGTGTTCCATTCAGAATGAATATCAATAAGGAGTTTCTCCTTAATTCTAATTTTCCTACAGCAGAGTACAAATGAAAATCTTTTTATTAATTCCCCGTGTCATCCATCATAAACTTATATTCGAAAAGGATTAAAAAATTCGTATATTTTATTTTGTCGTAAGTTTCGCGATCAAAATTGAATCACGTGAGCAAAATGTTTAATAGATAAAAAAAGTCAAATATAACATGAAATAACTTGAATTAATATAAATTTTGACGTTTATGAGTCACGTGATATACACAGAGCCTAAACAGGGCAAAACAGTTAAATTACAAAAAAAAACGCGTAAAATGAACACGATTCTTCAGACTTAATTAATTGTCTCTGTAATGAAGGACAAATTTATTGCCTATTCAGTGCAATATTTCCTACGTGAACGATTGGTTCTCTCTGGTTCGGATGTTTGTTACATTGTCTGTATCTACTGTTATAACCGTGTCGCATACTTTGCATATTACAAATTTTCAATACTTAATCTTTTTATCTTAGTAAAATTCATTCTTTTACTATGTTTCTTCCTTTAATTATTTTCTTGTAATACTTAATTGACGATCTCCGCTGCTAGTATTTACGTAGAGCGTTTCTTCTCATTTGTATTATAAACCGTGTATAACACACTATAATTAAGAGGAAACAAAGACATTTAATTCTTTTTTAATAAAAATATATGAAGTTAACAAGGTCATCACCTTTGTCTTTTTTAAATTCCAATGTTATGGTACGTCCATTATACAAATATTTTCCTTAAGAATTATACAACCTTTAATTATAACTCATTTTACTCACTTTATTTATAAACGAGATTTTTTTTTTTTTTACAGATTATTATTTTGTAGTTTTTCAATTTGTATTATATTACATATCATCTATTTATTCATATACGCGAATTAGAAATGGATGATAATAGGCAAGATTCTGCTGAGGATTTTTCTAAGTCCAAAAGCAGTGTCATTCGACGTTCTTTATCAAACTTAACTTTTGACAAGTCTTTATCGAAATCAGATAATAATAAAAGCAATTCATTAGAATCCTCTAGCGTTAAATCAGTATCATTATCTAAACAAAAATCAGCTACATTTTCCACAAAGAAATTAAAATTAAGACCTAAATCTGCTCTTCCACCACAAAAATCTCCCTCAAATCTCCTTCAAAATGCTTCATTAATTTCTAGTACAGCTGGCGATTTAATACACCGTTCAAAACCACCTCTTGGTCGCCCACCTTCTACACCAACGTTGCATTCGGTATCATTTAAGTCATCCTCAAATAATGATATAGATGAAGAAGTCTTAAATAATCCATCACAACTCCCACCGCTATTACCATCAATTACCCTCTCGCAAAAGTATTCTTCGGCATCATCATCTACCACTTCATCACCATCAACCACTTCATCACCATCTATATCAAGCATAAATACAACATCTAGTATTACATCACCGTCAACAACCTCTTTATCATCTAATGAGACCACGGAAGAAGATAATTCTTTAGATATTACAACTTTCTTAGCAGCACCGCGTTTGACTCAGCGTGTTAGATTAAAAACTGGAAGAGTTGTTAGTTTTTCTGAAGTAGGCGATAGAAATGGGTTCCCGGTTTTAGTTTTTTTAGGAATGGGCTGTGTGAGATATTTTATAGCTTTTTTTGATGACCTTGCCTCAAGTTATGGGTTAAGATTGATATGTCCTGATCGACCAGGTGTTGGACTTTCAGATGATGTCAAGGTAGATGAACAACAAGTATTGAAATGGCCAGGTATGAATTATATGAATAACGTATCCGTTATACAAATGAATTATAATAATTATTATAACTTATTTTTTTTTTTTATAACATTCATTTTATTTCTAAATTTATTTATTATCTTATTTAGTTATTTAAACTTAAATTTACTTACTAATTTTATAATTTTTATATATATATATATTTTTTTACTTTAAAGATGTGATTGAGGAGCTTTGTGAAATACTTAGTATAGATAAATTCTTTATTATGGCACATAGCGCTGGTGCACCATATGCACTTGCTTGTGCTATGAAGATACCTGAAAGATTACAAGGAACTATATATCTTGTATGTCCATGGGTGAGCACAACGATCGCCAATAATTTTAAATGGCTACGTTTCGTTCCTACACCCATTATGAAGCTCACTAACACTGCAGGAATTTCTTTACAACAAATGCTTCACGGAAGACAACCATATTCCACTAAGCCATTACATCAACGAAATTCTGGAGCTTTGGCTTCTCCAATGTCAAGCCTTGAGAAAAAACAACAATTAGGACTTGCAATACTTAAAGCTTCTTTTGCTGAAAATCTGTCTGGTGCAAATAATGATTTGCTAATGTGTTTCGAGCGACGTCATTCATTTGGATTTTCATACACAGATATTAATCATCCCGTACACGTTTTCCACGGTACAAAAGATGAAAGGATTCCAGTTTCGGCAGTAAAATGGATGGAAGATAATATGCCTGACTGTAAGTTGTCATTGATAGAAGGTGGCAAACATTCTTTACTTTTACGTGCTGAGATCGTGGATACAATATTCAAAAGTATCGCTGTGCAGTTACATGTTAAGGATGAATGTCGAGTTTGCAAAATTTCAGCTAAATGTTGGCTAATGGAAGAAGCAGAAAATGCCAGAAAATTGAAAGCGGAACAAGAAAGGAAATCAAGGCAAGAAGAAGAGGAAAGATTACGGAAACTTCCTATCGAAAATATTGCTTGTACTTAAACTGACTGACTATGTAGTTATGGCTTTTGATTATTATTATTATTCTTTTATTCTTTTTTTTTTTTAGTATAAAAAAAAAAAAATAATAAAGAGAAAAACTAATTTAGGACATTGTTTAACGAAAAGTTAACATTAACAGATTGAAATCATTAATTATTATGTATTAATAGTAAAAGCAATTTTATTTTTTTAATAATTTTTTATTTATAATAAAACTCAATTTTTTGAGAATTTATATAATTGAGTATTTTCATTAGAAAGAAATATACAAGAATTTTATTATCTTTTACATCTTTTAATTAAATTTTATTGTAAATATAGGGAGTTTTAACCTGTAGGGTATAGTTTTCATTTTTTTGTATTTTGTTCTTATTTTATTTAGTAAATTATAATTTATAAATTTAAAATTACTATTAGATTTAAATTGATTATTTGACAAGTAATAAATATTGAGATTATTTTTAATATAATTTATGGTTTTAAATTTTTATATAAAAAATTTGGTTTATCAATATTATTATTTTTATACATATTCCTTTTAAATAATAAAAATTTTACTTATATTTAAAAGTAAAAGTAAGTAATATTAAAATTGATTTATTTTAGCTTTGCCATAATATATATAATCTAAAGCTGCTATTTTTTTATTTTGTAGCAAAATTTTAATGTTTATAATATAAGATTTCTTATAAAAATCTAAAAATGAAAATAATATATTTTATATATTTTTATCAAAAATATCTATTATTCTATTTTTAAATAATACATAATAGTAAAGAAAAAAATTTTTAATTTTTATTAATCAAAATTTTCTATATTACTATTAAAAAAGGCTCAGAAATTATATTATTTTAAAAAGTGGAAAGGTGATTCAATATTTCACAAATATTATATAAGCTAATTATATATATATTTCTCAAAATAGTAAGAAGGGAGGGGAATAAAAATTTCTAAATTTTTAATGATATAATTTCTGACCCTTTTTTTAATAAATTCTTTTTTTAATAAATTTATTATATAATAAATAATAATAATTTTAGTTAAATAAAATAAAAATTAATTTTATTAAAAGAATTTAATAGGGTTTCTCAAAATCAAATTGAATCAAATAATTAGATAATTTGAAATCAATATATATTAGCTTATTAAATTTGTTTAGTTGGACTAGTTAAATGATATGCATTTTTCTTCTGAAATTTTCTTTTGAGTTTGAAGCTTATAAATTTTTTTCCGAATCCTTTAATACTTAATCATGTTTACTATTTTATTAATATTAGAATCAGATGAACTGGATTTGGATGAACTAGTCTCAGATGAATTACTCTCAAACAAACTTGATTTAGATGAATTAGTCTCAAAGAAACTACTCTTGAATGATGAACTAAATTCAAACGAACTAGTCTCGGTAAACTTGATTTAGATAAACTAACCTCAAATAAAGTAGACTTGGACAGGATATTGGTTAAAACTGTCAAATTCTTTTAATCACTTTCCATTTTGATTATTTATGTGTTAAACTTAATATTTTTGATCAAAAAAAATCTGGGATAGGCTATCTTAGAAAATGCTCATTTTCAGCTAAATCAGATTCTTCAGAAGATTCAGACAAATAGGAAAAACCTTACCTTTTTTACTAATTAGCGAGAGAACTATTTTTTGTATTAAATTAACATAGTCTTTCTATCTACACATTCATTCAAATCATCTAAATCAATTATTAAGGACCTTATATCTCTTTCTAATCTTTTTACCCTTCTTTCTAAAGTGATATGTTAGGAATTTTAATCTTCTAATTATTTCTTTAATGCCCTATTTTCACTAGAAAGCGCTTTATATGCTCCTACTGCATTCTGCTTGTCTAGTCTAAATAACTTGACTATTTTTTCTATACGCTTCTGTACGCCTGATAGCTTTCTACTCAATAGGTATATTATCAGATGAATAATTTTGATCAGTTATCATTTCTGTAATATATTCTATATATTAAATCTTATCTTGAGCGAAAAAATAAAATTCCTTTTTTATACCTTTAACACTTTAAAAGATAAGCAAATAAATATATAAAAAAGTAATAAAGGATATTAGTTTCTATTGAAGAGCTTATATAGCTCTCAATACTCTTTTTGGAATTTATTAGATCTTTGAATAAGATCTGGATCTTTGGCATAAATATTAATAATTTTAGGATCTACTTCTTTTGCTAATTTCTTGTAAAATTAGTTTTAGTATAAGGCAGATATTATAACTTCTTTTTTTATTTTTTATTATTATTTTTCAGTTCTAATTTCATATTATTATAGAAAATATCTCACTTGTTATCAGTTTTAGCATAATATTTTGCCTTTTCTTTATAGTTAGTTTTTCCTTTCTTTTATCAGGTAGAAAAGCTTCTTTCTTCCCTTTACTATATTTTGCATCAGATTAGGAGATCTTTAATGTATTTTTAGGCATTTCAATTATATAGTAATGCATTAAGTCGCCTAATTGTAAAGAACAAAAAGACCCTCTTACCCAAATACTTTACTTATAAACTGACTTCTTATTCACTTTTTACCAAAACATATAATTCTTCTAGAGTATTCTTACTATTTTTTACCATTTCTCATCAGTATCAAGTCAGAAGGATATAACTCTTTTATTCTTAAATTCACAACAGATTATTTATTCTTTATCAATCTTTCCTGTATTTTTATGTCCTATATGTTCTTTAGGATTTTCTTCTAGATCTTTTATGTAATTACATATTCATGCATCAGTTTTCATCTTATCTCAAAATACAATGGAATTGAATCTGTCTTTTTCAGTGATAGTTATAAAAACATCTGGATTCTCATCTAATTTAACTGTCCTTTTCTGAGACATTTTTCATGCTGGACTCTAGTCAGAAGTATGATAGATAATACTTGATTGATATGCTTAGAAGAATCACGCTTGTCGCTTGTTTCTTTTGGAAGCATATTTACCACTTTGTTGATAAGCTCAAGAGAATCAGAAAGTTTGCTAGTCTCAGGTTTATCAATTATTGGCTCAGGTGTTTTAGTAGTCTCAAATATTAAGACAACTGAAGCTTCAGCTTATTCTATTACATAGTCAAAAAGGTCTTGAGTTAAATCACTCTTCTTATTTGCCTTTTTATCTTTATTAGTATTAGACAGAGATGTATTCTTTTCTGGAAGAATTAGAATTATTTTTTGAAGAATGATTTCTAGCACATTAAATATGGTTTGTCTATAGTCTCATTTTCAGATAAGTCAGGTAGATGTATCAGAAAATTCTTTCATATATTTAGGCTAGATTTATGGAATTTGTCTATGATTTTGTGACAGTCAAATATATATTGCCATTTCCTTTTTCCACTATCTGTTCATTTGCATTCAATATTATTAATCTTCTCCAATAACTTTTTACCAAAAATATTATTAGAAAATGGATTTTCACCATTGCTTTTACACCATTCAAAATATTTCTGATATAATGCATTACAACTTGGCTTGACTATTTTATCTTAAGACCAAGATGTAATGTAGTCAATTATAAATCAAATGGGATTAGGAAGTTGCTCTCGCATTGTTTCTATCATCATTTTAGTTACAGGAATTTTTCCTGGACTCTAATTTAATAAGTTACAGCTAAAAATATATGATATTACTACTTTCGACGTATCAATATGGTCTAGAATTTCCTCTAGTCAGTCAAAATATGGCATATTATTCCTACAGTATGCCAAAACATCAAAACAGACTATACAAGAATCACCTATATCACCTATGTTTATTTTAAGTGAAACATCCTGATTACTTGTATTACTTGTAATTATATATCCAGCATAATCATTTATTCGTATATTTTCAAGACCCTTATGCTCTATAGCTACCATTTGTTCTGTTATAAGTAATTTGAGATGCCCGTTAAATCTATGCTATTTCTCACTAGACATTCCAGTTTCATTCATAACAATAAGCTTTTGAGTTTGAATAGCGCTATTAAAGTGTCCAAGAATTTTTTCAAATCTAATATTACAAAATGAAGATATTATTCCAAAGTTTTGTTACCAATAAAATCAGTGATGATATTTTTTCTGCACTATTATAATGTAAATTTTAGTACTAAGATAGTTTGGGACTTCTTTTCTGACTTCTACATTAAATATACCTACTAGTTTCAGATATATTCGTCAAGTCTTTTATCCTCATTACAGATTACTTTCTTTATATGTCAAAGAATCAGATTCATAATTTCTTTATTAATTTCTGATGCTATGTAACCAAAAATCCTAGGAAAAGGTTAAAGAAATCTGTAACTAGTTGGAGGCATTTAATAGGTATGAAAAGAAATTATAATCTTCATAAAGTATTAAACCTTTAGTATCTGCTTAGTCTATCAATGATTTTAACTTTATCGATTCTTCACCATATTCAATTATATTAATTTTATAATCGACAAGTTTTAGTTTAGATTATCAAAGAAAAATATATTTTTTGCATCTTTATATTTAAGAAGCTATAATTTCGAAATCCCTTGCATGCAGGCAACTATTGCTTAGATAGCTTCATAAACTTCAGTGTGTGAGAATTTCTTATCTAAAGTACACATGCGTAATAAGTTCTAAAATACAAATCTATCATTTGAATTCGTAATTCTGGGTTGTTTTAATTTTACTGGAGTCAGAAGATTTTTTTCTCAGCTTAAAGCCATCTCACTAAGAGTAAGCTTTAATAAAGGATTTCTTCCTCAAGCTGTTTATCTTGATTTGCATAATAACAGAAAAAGCTATAAGATTTTTATTTCATATGTTATATACATTATCATTAGTATGTTCTGATCACATAATAAGCAATATGATGAAGAAGCGTGTGATAGTGAAAATTTGTCAGGAAAATTTTCAGATGTGTATAAAAGATTATACCCTTCAATGTTAGCTTTTTAATTAATGTCTCTATTAATTTGAATTCAGTATTAGTAGTAACATTATTTATATTAGAACATCCCTCATTTTATCTTTTGGAATAGCCAAGAGAAGACTGTCAATGACTTCTGATTCATCATTAGGTGGATGAATCATAAAGTCAAAACAGATCCATCTTTTGGATGAATAACTTTTTTCACACAAATATGTTCTCCTGTTTTTTCATTGTATTTGAATGATCTAAGCATTCGCAAGAAAAATAAATATTTGTTTGTTATATTATTAATAATGCTATTTCCTTGTAGAGCTATCAGAAGTTTTTTACAAACAAGCTCAGTAAACATCATTACCTGAGCAATATTTGAAGTCTTATATCGAAAGTTAAGACATAAAAAGATATTATTTTACATCAGTACTACTGGCAATATATATAGTTATTTTGAAAATACCTTTAAACATATATTTTTAAAGATATAACAAAGTAAAATTTTCATCTAGATGTATGAAATCTTAGGAGAGATAGCATTTAATATTTCTATTGGCAAATCAAAATCTATAACTGGATGAAGTGATTCATCTTCATCAATAATTTTATATAAAAAATGGCCTTTACACTCTAAGAGTATAGCTTTTATTTCATCCTCATTATCTGCGTCTAAAAAATACTTTGGTCTAACACTATCATCATGAATTTTATATAAGCATACATCTATATTTGAGAATTTAAATCCTTGATAGTATAAGGCAGGAATGTCCAAGAATTCTAAAGTTTGGATTAGGTTATGATAATATATTAGACAACTTTTTGTAGAAATATTAAAAATATCCAGAAAAAGTTTAAAATAAAAATTAATTCACAACTAAAAAATATCTGATATCAATTTATACCAAAAAGAAAATTATCTTAAAAGATGGTATTCTATCACTATGAATACATTCTAAGAAGTGAAGAAGTCTGTAGATGAAGTAGTTATAGGCCTAAAGGGTATAATTATCACTGAAAATCTCCCAATGTATAACAAAATCACATCCTCTAGCTATTATATGTATAAAAAGCATACAAGAAAGTATCAAAATATAGAATACTATTATTGGCAAAAATTCAGGATACATTCTGCAATCTGTCCTAAAAAATCTGTCCTAGTTTTCTAGGACAAGTTAGGATGAGAACTAGGACAGAAAAATATAGTTAAATGGAATTAAAGGGAATTTGATTACCTGTCCTAGTAATCATATACACAAAAAATTGATCAGAGTTATGGCATAGTGTTGATTAAAATTAATCATAGATTTATTGTACTACTTGATATGATTTTTTTACTACAATTAGGTATTTTAGCAGGTAACCAAATAGGCGTAAAAAGGTAAACATTATAATATAAAAACTAACACTCAATCAGGTATAGGAGAAAGCCAAATATGTTTGCATATCCTAATAAAATATCTATATAGCTTTTCTATTTTTTCATATTCTGATAAATCACATTCCCTTAAAAAGAAAGCCTATGGCAAAACTAAATGCAAAACTACTAATTAATCACCAAGCAATAGTGCTACTCAGCAAGAAAAAAAAAGCATAATACAAAAAACCACATAGCTTAAATAAATTCCATCATCAATCCAATTCCTAAAATAATATATAATCATCTAACATTTGTGATAAGAAATAAAAGCTAAAAAGAATATCATAAAAAATATATATTAGGAATAAAGTAGAATATATTTCTAATCCCAAAAATAATAAATATACAGCAAACAACTAAAAATAATAAAGGAGAATAAAGGAGAATAGCAAAAAACTTTATTGTCTGAAGTATAGTGGAGGACACTTTACTATTATAACATTCAAATGCAAGGTCGTTCTATTCGTCCAAATTTGGCAAGCCTGATAACCAATGACATTTTGTTTACGTTATCACATGTTATGTCTTTTGTGTTATAAAATAATTAATCATGTGAAATATGATATTATAATTTATATACCATACTATGCTTCGGACTTTGAACGAATCCCGTTTCCTAGTATAACAATAAAAGAAGTAAAATGGAAAAGAAGCACAAATAAACTGGTAATTAAATAAAAAAAAGAAAAGGAATGAGAATGGAAATAAGGGTAACATAGCAAATAAAAAATAAGTAGAGGTATAGTCTCAAACACAAAATAGACTACCAAAAGACTGCAAATTAACAAAAACAAATCCAGTAGTAACATGATGATAAGTAGGTAGCAATATAACAGTTACAGTGATGGGAAATTAATAATTTGATATTTTGAACAATTGTCTAAAACTGTATCCAAAATATGTCCAAAACTAAAGCTTATTTTAATTGGATAAGTTTTGAATAATTATTTATATAATGATCAAATCCAATAAATATCATTTTTGATACATTAAATATAAAATTTTTATTAAATTATTGTTAAAAGTGTCTTCAAAATTGTATCTAGAAGTTATTTACACTTTTGAAACATGGAATCTCAAGAAATTATAAAAAAAAATTCTATTAAAAATAAATAAACAAAAATCAGGGATACTATAAAGCATTATATATAAAAAGGATAATGATTATTCTAAAAAAATCACTTTCAGAAAATCTATAGACAAAAAAAAGGTAGAAAATGTTAATAATTTGTTTAATTCAAAAAAAAATTCAACAATTTCTTTTCCATTTATATAACTTATCTTTGATCTAATTGATGAGGTTTTTCACATCAGTAGGAACTCTGAGTATCGCTGAACTAATAACATTTTCAAATTCCCATTCATCATTTTCAACATAAAATTGATTAGTCATGATTTTGAATTGTCATTCAGATAAAAACTATATGGAAGGTTTGCTAGGAAAATGGGGCTCTGAGAAATTTTTATTAAAATTTTAATTTTTATTGTATTTTAATTTTTGATAATGTTAGATTAAAATGCAATAAAAATTAAAATTTTAATAAAAATTTTTCAGAGCCCCATTTTCCTAGCAAACCTTCCATATAATAGTTATTAATAAAAATTATAATATAAGTAAATGGTATTTAAATAGTCCAAATAAAATAATCTTAATAACAATACTTACATCTACATTACAAATACGTAAAGTATTATTGATATCTTCTCCATAAGTCTGGTTCATTTTGAATGATACATCAATTTGTTCACTTCCTGTTCAAAGCATATTTCTGTAATAGTTTAAGTTTATAATTTTTTGCAGAATACTTAGCAATTTAAAAAATGCAAACCACCTGTATTATTTTGTAGACTTAATATTTTATATCATGTGCTAATGTGATAGCTACTGTGTCTTTAAAAATTCTAACATCTCTTCAAAAATTATAACCTATTTTTTTCTGATAAACCTTATATTTTTCAAACAAACTTACTATTTGTTATTAATAGTTTGAGCATAGTTCTAATTGGTTTGATTCTAATGAATAACCTAAAAAAAAAAGGAGTTAGTGTTATTTCCTAATGCTATTAGAACCTTTAACATTACTTATTGACCGTTAAGTTAAGAAGAACCATCTAAGAATGTCCAAGAGTGTCTAAAAGATCTAATAAAAGAAGACATTAGAGTTGTTTATTAACATCATTAACATTATCTACTCATTCAAAGAAACTTATCGGTCAAGATTCATCTAATAAAATTGTTCAGGAACTGTCCAGGAACTGTTTAGAACTGTCCAAGAAGCTTCTTAAAAATAAAAAAATAAGGAATGTTAGTAATATTCCTAAAACTATTATTAAAAAAATTTTTTTAAAAAAATATTGTTTATCTCAAAACAGCGCATTAATGAATAAAGGTTACTGGAATATATAAAAGGTAAAAAATGGGTTGTGATCTAAGAAAATCAGGTTCTGAGAAATTTTTGACTAAAATTAATGTCTTATTACATTTTGGTCTAAATGTAATAAAAATTAAAATGCAATTAAAATCTCAATTTTGATAAAAAATTCTCAGAACTTGATTTTCTTAGATCACAACCCAAATGTTTATCTATTTAATTAAAAATTCATTAACATCATCTCTCTTTCTTTTTAATTAATAATAAATTATTAATAATCTCTTTCTCTTTATAGAACTTATCTTTGATTGATCCAAGGCTTGATAATTGTTTCCTGATTGCATCATGAAAAGATTCCTAAAAGAATCAAATTTGAATTAACATCCTCTTCACATATGGTATTTGCGTGAAGTTCAAAAAATAATCCTATACTACAGATAATTTAGCAGCTACGCATGGATCAACTCAGAAAGTATTTTCCACTTTAAATGTTATCTTGTCATAAATCCCATGATGATTAAAATGGAATTTTCAGAAAGTATGTATTTATATAAGCATAAAATTAAAGCAGACAACGAATACCTTAAGTAAGAAATATTATAATCTTATTAATTAAAAAAATATCATTAATATCGTAGCATAGGATACCAATCGATTCAAGGCTTGATGAAAATTTTCAATATTTTTAAAAATGCATGAAATAGTATATTTTTTTAATTACAAAAATTAATTAATATCTCTTTCACTTCGTAGAACTCCAATTGATCTAAGACTTGATGGGTTTCTAATATCTATAAAAGATAAGAATAAGAAATATTAATAGTTTATATTTAATTTTAAAAAAAATTTACAAACACTCTTTTTCTTCGTAAAATTTATTTCTGATCAATCTAAAAGTTTTTGAAATCTATAAAAAGATAAGAAATAAGACATTAATAATTTATATTTTAATTTAGCAAAAAAATTATTAACATTCTTTTCTTCTATAGAACTTATCTCTAATCAATTTGCGGATGCTTGTAAATATTATGAAAATATATTAGATTTTAAACATTTTATAAATTATATTAAATTTATATTTAGCTAATAATTTTTATTAAAGCATGTTATGTGTAACAAATAATAAAAAATAAAGCCTAATTATATTCAGGCAAGGTAGATATAAAATCTGGCTTTTCTAATTTTCTTATAAAGAGCTCATATAAATTCTATTTCGCACTTTCATTAATAGTAGGATGAATATATAAACCTAATAAATTATTATTAGATTTATTATTATCTATTAATTCATCGGTAAATTATACATTTTCTTCATCATCTAATAATTCATACCACTTCTTCAATTTTTTCTTTCAATCTTACTTAGTAGTTATATAACCAGCTGTATTTTGATCTTCAACTTTCTTTTGAATTTTATGTGATTCTATATTAACAACAGCTTCTTGATTATCTAATTTTATAATTGGTGTGATATCAGCTTGCAATTTTTAAAAATTGCATTTTCATTTTTTTCATTTTCTGCTTGATGTATACTAGAACGAAGTTGAGCCATAATTACAACCTTTTTATACTAAAATAAAATAAATTTAATTATAAATATAATGAATATATTATTAAATTTATTAAATATAAAAAATACAATACTTTTAATTTATTTCTTTGAAACGTATGTAAAAAACCTATTGATGAAAATAATTGTTTGACAGAAGCTGAATTTACACAGATGCTAAAAATTTTTGTTGCAATAAGTCCTAGTTCTTTACACATTGTAAAACAATAATACCAGTAAGCTAAAACATCCTCGCTAAATTGTTCAAATTCTGAAAGTAATTTTGTTAGCTTATTAAATGTCTATGCCTTATAATAATAATCAAGCCAAATTCCTATTGTTATAAAATTTATAGTTTCTAAATTAGGATTAAATTTATCAAGTCAATATTTAGGATGAAGCATTAGAAAAAGTAATAATATAAATTGCTCCTATTTTATCTAATGATTTTTAAGACACGTAATTATACCTTCTGCTAAAAAACAATTTGAATTCTGCTTCCAAAATTTGATAAAATATTCAAAAGATAAAGCAACATCAAATAATCAAGCTTTATCTGATTGCATTTTATTAAGAGCTTCATAATATGGTACATTAATATTATTAATATTGCAAGTTTTGAAATTTGAGACCAAAATAATTCATTCATAATAATATGACAAATATTAATTGGAAGATATAATTCATCATGTTTTCTCTAAGAAGAAGTAGTCTTAATTTCAGAAGGTTCATATCATGTAATTAAATTCTATTTTTATTAAAAAGCAATTAAAATTTTATTACATTTAAAGAATGATTACTAACTTTACTTACTCTTAATACTTGTTTAGTCTAAATTAAACTTTTATAATAATCATAATAAATATTCCATCTTGTATCTCCAGGTTTAGTTATTGCAAAATATTTACCATAAAATTCTAATTAAATATTTCTTAATTTTCCAATAAAATATGCATGTCGAGAATTTATAAAATAAAGATATAATTTCACAGCATTAGTAGATACTTTTACAAGAATATTAGATTCTTTAAAATTTTTCCTAATAGTTAAGTTACATTGATTGCCAAAATAGGTAAGAATATATATTCAGGATATTTAGGCTGAAGTTGTTGTTTAGATAAAAAAAAAAAATAATAAATAAATAAATAAATTTTTATTTTATTTAAATATTAAATTATCAGTTTTTTATATTATTTTAATTTCATTTTTCATAAATTTATTTTATTAAAAGATTTTTAAGTTTCTTTTTATTTTTTTTATTTCTTTATTATTTATTTATAAATTAAAATAAAATTACTGTGCTAAAGCATATGTTATAGCACTATCGCTTACAATTGCAACTATTTTTATTGATTGTTGCTTTAATTCTTGTAACATATTTTCTATTTGTAAAATAATATCAATTGCACGTTCTCTATAACCATTAATATCTATTGCCTTCTATATTAAAGATTTACCAAAAGGCATTTTTATCATAATTTCAAGTATTTCTTAGTTTATAATATTCTTCCATCCATTAAAAGCAAGTGTAATATCAGCTTATTTATATATTTGATTTAATTTATCTTGACGTACTTTATCAACATTTTGAATAGTTTGATTTAAAATAGGATCTGTTAATTGTTTTCTATCTGGTAATTTTAAATTTAGATTTAACCAATGAAAAAAAGCTTGAATAGAAGAGTTGTTATCCTATTGAAAAGCCTAGCTATTAGCTACTGTTACTTTAAATAAAAGATTATAAAATGTAGGAATTTCAGTTTTGGTTATATTTCGTATAGCATATTTTAGTAGTAATGATTGTGATTTTTACTTCTTATTAAATTCAAAAGATTGTTTAGTAAAATTTATCGAATTTGTCAAAAAACTTGAAATAGACATGATATCATCTATAGATAATAAATAATAAATATTTAATATTTCTTTTAAAAGATAAATCTAAAAAATTTAATATTTACTGTTCAAATATATTCATTTATTTATAGATAATTCATCTGTTTCTTCATTACTAATGAAATTATTTAATATTTCATTTGCCTCTTTTTCATATTTATTCAAAAAATATTCACAATTTGATAAATGTTTTTTCATTCTTTCTTTTCTATTAATTATAGGTTTAGCCTTTTCTTTTAAAACCTCATTACATATTTTACATATACATTACCGGTCTTTATCTTCAAGATTAACTTTTTTTAAAATAATTACATATAAAGAAAGATTATATTTAAGACGATCTTTGTTTTTTCGAATCATAATTCAAAAAAATTTAAAAGAATGAAAATAAAATAAAAAAAATAAATCCATAAAAATAAAATAAAAGAGAACAAAAAATATGAGAATAGAAAAAAAAGATTATCAACAATAATCAATTTTTCAATTTTAAATTATAAATAAAATTTATTTTATTTTTGGATTTTGGATAGTTTTAAATTAATTTTGGACTTGTTCAAAACACATAAATTTATTAGACAAGTCTAAAACCCATCACTGATATAACAGTAAGTAGTGTAACCCAAATGATCTTTAGAAAATTAGAAGTGTGACGCAGTAAAGTGATCTGCAAATGATCATCATGTAAATTGATCTGCAAGAATCAATGACACAATAATCGGCAAAAAGATGATCTGCGAAATTAACCAAATCAGTTAATGAAGTAATGAAGTA